TTCCATCCAGAAGGCTTAATCAGTCAAGGAAACACACAACACAAAACAGATTCTACCCCAACAGCTTACTCCAAAGTGGAACAAACCAGTTATGTTGGTGCTAAGATTTTCTCTTTGGCACACCAACTTCTCAAGTGCCGGTCCTATCCCTACTGTACTCCCTTGTGTTTCTCCTTAACTACCCCGATCGGTTCCACCCGCCTGTCCTCCAGGTGTTTGTAATTATGTCTTGTCTATTCTGTGTATATAAGCTCTGGTCTGTGTCTGTCATTATCGGCCCATCGTCTGGTTCTTCTCCTGTGTTCCCCATGTTTGCCCTGACCTCTTTTATGTAAGTTTTATGCTGCCTCGTCAGCTTATTATTTTGATCATTAAAAGTGTTTATTATTTTACATCATGGCCTCGGAGTCCTGCCTGCACCAATGGGTTTGTTCCTGCTCAGCTCTGTCTGAAAACCATGACAGTGTGGACCGAGCAGGTCCCCCTCTGCTTCACTCACCTGTCTGCTCGAGCACACGCAGATGGAGGACACCATGATCTGGTGCAGCGGGTTTCAGACCGAACCCATTTCAGACACAAGGATGCTACATCCAGGAGGTAGAGATCCTGCCTTCACCCTCCTGGTCCTTGAAGAAAAAAGAAGGTCCCAGCTCCCTCAAGGTCTCCACGACGGTCGAGGTTTCCACGTCCAGCACGTCTCGGGTTCTCGCCTTTGTCACGCTCAGCGGCCCCCGCTGCCCCCCCCCATCTGCCTAAGCCTCTGCTCCTCATATCACAGCCCCTGTTTTAAGATCATTCACGTTTTTTCCTGCCTCAGTTTCTGTTTATTTCATCCTGTTTGGTCCTGCACTGCCTATCACCCATTTTCTGCTCCTGTCACTCTCTCTCAGCAATCTGCACTCATCTGCTGCACCCTGTCTCTGCAATCACCACTCACCTGCCACACCTGTTCATCTCACTACTTAAGCTCCACTCTCACTCTCCTCAGTGCCAGATTATTGAAAGCCTCACAGCCAGTAAATTATCCAGCATTCGCTTGTTCCTAGTTTTTTCGTTTTTGACCACAGCTTCGCTCTTTACTCCTCGCTTTGTCTTTGCCCCTGTCTGGATACCACGCTCTCGGCCTACATGGTACAACCTCGCTCTCCTCTTCGACCACGACTACGGATCATCCTTTTGCCTGTTCACACAGCTCCTGGCTCTCGACCCCTGCTACGTCCCTGGATTCCGTTTCCTGCCCAACCCTCCAACGTTCTCTGTCTCAGCTCTGCTCCTGCCACAGAAGGTTAGTGACGTTCACACCACCTCTCAGCTCCCAGAACCTTTTTGCAGTCACTAACCTGTCTGTCTTCATAGATTGGACCAGAACTGAGGCTCAGATCCTTCAGACGAACGCCTTTAATAAAATAAAACCTTTTATTTTAATTTTGTCCTGAGTCAGGTGTTGTGCCGATCCATACAGACTCGTTACAGCCTTGCCTGGTTCCACGTTGCTCGAGGGTTCCACGCCGCTCGAGGGCTCCACTCCGCTTGAGGTCCCCAAGCCATTCGAGGTCTCCACGTCCAGCATGTCTTGGGTCTTCGCCTCACCTAGGTTCCATGCCTCAGCCTGTGGATCCAGTGTCTGCTGAGTTCCACGTCTCCGAGTTCCAAGTCTCTGAGTTCCACGTCTCTGAGTTCCACATCTCCGAGTTCCACATCTCTGAGTTCCATGTATCTGAGTTCCATATCTTCGAGTTCTACATTGCCTCCTAATCCTGCTGCAGAAGATCCTACCCACAAAAGTTAAACACCTGAATCTAAACACCTGTGTGAGCATGCTGATCACTATAAGGTTTCTCCATAAAAATGTTCAATAGTGGATGTGGGGACCCATAAACCCATCCCCACAGGACACGAAGGTAACACAGGGAAGACCGGAACCACAGACACACAGCGGTCCCCAAGCCCAGAACTCAGGGAGTCCCCCAACAGGGACACCCACACCCCCCAGAGAGAGAAGCAAAGGGAAGCCCCGGGCGATCCCCAGCAACCACAATGCAGAAACCCCAGGAGGCTGTAGTGACGAGTCAACAGGCCCAGCCGGCAACCCGCCCCTCCAGAGTGGATCCGGCCATGGACACTAAGCCCCGAGACCCGAAGTCATACCACCCCCCAACAGAGGCCCGACAGAGCCAGGGCACACAGGCCCCCGCAGGCAGCCACCAGGGTGGGCCCGCACGCACCCCACCACCCAGCCCCAGCTGCTGAAAGCCGCCAATGCACCGGTGGCAGGGGGCGCCACCACTGGAGGGGAGCATGACACACAAAATGGGGGGCCAAAACTGATCCAAGAGAGGGGACCACCTAAAATCCAACCTGAGACAAACAGGCACACAGAGACAGCCCAACAAAGCCTCTGTTGGGGCGTCCATGTGCCCCACCCACCCAAAAGTGACCACAAGCCGGCACCAGGCTGGGGGCCAGAGCAGCAGGGAGCAGCAGCTGAGGAAGGCCGGCCCAGCACACTAATGCATCCGTACAGCCCCACACCACAGGCCCGGAGAGGCCCCGACATGCCACCCACGCACCCCCCCCCCCCCCCCACACCCACCCACCCCCCCCCACTGAAAATTTCACATCAGGCCGACCAGCCAGCACCCAGTCGAAGTGAAGCCACGCCCCAGACCGCCACCACGCACTACCAACGACCACACACACACAACCACAGCCGACCCCCCACCAGAACCCGGCAGCCACCCCAGCCAAAAGGCTGGCCATCGCAACAAGGAACCCCGATCAAAAGATCCAAACAATCCAGGGAGAACTGGAGCACCAGCCCCACCCCCAATTGCCCCCCCAAGGCCCAATACCCACCCACAGCCCAGATCCCAACCAGGCAGCCTCCCCCCCCACCCCCGCCCCTGACCCCAAATGTCAGACAAAGAATGAGGGTTTAAGGAAAACTGGAAGACCCAACTCCTCCCTCCCCCCACTCAAATAAGATGTTGATGCATGTTGTTATATAGTGCGTTTAAAATGGGGGGATGAGGTGGCGACTGGCACAGAACCACCCACTCCCCAGACAGCAGGTAGTGCCCATTCACCTCCCCAATCCTTGCCCAGAACCTTAAATGTCTACATGCTACATATGAGAGTGGGCACAGGTCCCAGTGGTGAGAATGATTACACATCCCACCCCCTATATGCCACCGTGTGCCCACTCCAGACCCTATATATGCATGTGTCGTGAGAATGTTATGTCCGAGTGTCTAGGTTGTTTGATAAAATTGGGACCCAGGTCTCCACGAACCACGGAGATGGAGGATCCTCCCTGCAGCTCAGTAGTGCACCTGAACCCCAAGGCCCTGCTTGAGTGGTGGTGTGATAGAGTGGGTGGAGGAAGACGTCAGGATGGGGAGGAACAACTGAGGTGGCAATGCCTTCCCAGGGGGCGAGCTCCCCCACTGACCCCAATAGGCACCCCCATTCTCCGAGATCCACCAGGGGAGGGAGGCTCCAGTGCATCCATCCAGGAGCAGGAGGCAGCCGCACCACCAGGGACCCAGGCCACGGACCGGCACATAGCCCTGAGGACCGACCAGAACACGGGCCAGCGACCTAACCCCCCCCCCCCGAGATCGTCCAGACCCCTAACCCAATCCCCAGCTCAACACCCAGCCCCCCAACCAAAGAAGCAACCAAATTCCAGCAGCGACAATCAGCCAGGAGTGCCCGAACAGCCGCAGACAGCGCACCACGATGACCGAGAGCGCACCCCCACCCCCACAAAAGGACCGACCAGTCCACCACAGCAACACGCACAATGAGAGCACCCCATGCAAGGGAGGGCACACACCTAACATGCCCAGACACCCCCAGGCCAACAGTGCAGAGCCACCCGAGCGAGAGCCCCCAATACACCCCTACCCACAGCCCAGCCCCCCAGCCAAGCACCAGGCCGCAGCCAGGCAAGAAGACACCTGGGCTGAATCCGCCCGTCCCCTCCCATGACCCATCCTCCCCCTACCAACAGTATCACACCCACCCACCCCCCCCACACCCCCCATGGTAG